AATGGGCCCCTAAATTGTAAACAATAAACCCTTGCTCTTTTTATTTCACTCCACTTTCTTCTTTCTTCTTGTCTTATAGTTAGACATGAATCCAGCCATGTCCTGTAATACACTGCACTCTATCTGCAGTCAATGCAGATACGCTCCATAACACCCCCTTGGATCAATGAGCAGTCACTCAATATGTCAGTAGTTAACCCAGCTGATTAGAGGGTAATTCGGGGAATTCAATCCCCATGAATATGAAATGGCCCCTATATGTTGTTGGCACGAACAAACCACAGCATCTTCCTTGACAGATTCAGTCAGCAGGAGCTCAACTTGCATTTTGTGAACTGCGACAAACAGAGGACGCCTTGAGTGAAGGAATCTCACCCAGTAATTAAACATCCGAGGCAGAACAGAGTTGATGGACTGATAAAGTCTATCTTTTAGACTGGCTTTTACAACTGGCACACATGCACACCTGTACAGATTGTTATCATGTTGTCCTTGAACAGCTAGCTAGTTGCGACTGTGGGAAAAAAACTATAAACATGTGCAAGCCATCATGCTGTTGACTGAAATCAGCGTATTTATTCACATATATCCATCAGGTGAAAACTATTGCAATGTGGGTTTAGGGAGTAATACAAAATCTGGAAATGTTGTTATGTGCATTAAAGATGAAACACTTGTAAACTGTTGGCTGGGTTTGTAAAAGACGCTATAAATATATTGACACATTAGAACAAAATTGTTCATGGTATTATATTCAAAGTATATTTTCTTGATACAAAATGTGTATATGACTCTTGGGAGCACCTGCACAATTGATGAACTAGCACCTCTTTCGAGCTCCATTATATACAGCAAGTCCTCAAGTTAACTGAGTGTATTAATGTTACTGCTGATTTTGGACCAGTTGGTGTGTAGACACAGAAGAAAGGATGCTCACACACCTACTATCAAAGAAGTCAAACTGTAAGTAATTATGCTCATAAAAACAACATTATATTTTACATCTTCATATCAATTTGGCAGTAATAAAGACAAATCCCCGTTCCTCAGGAGAGCCGATTTGAATCTGGTTTAACCTTAAATTAACACTTTAGTTTGTAATTAATCCAAATGTTTTGCTGAACAAGGATTCCACTATTAGTGAACAGTTCATATCTATGCAAACCCCCAAAAAATTAATGATCATGGCAGGACGAAAATGATTTCTGCAAAAAACTACAGTAGCATTGTGATCTTGTAAAGCTACAGATCCTACAACAACACATTAATTTTTTTACTGGAATTTGGCAAACATGTTTAATTGAATCTACTGATATGAAAATGACAGCAACAAGTAACAGTGTTGTCAACCTTTTGATTTAGGAAAAGATGCCCTGAGCAAATATTGAAACTGATATGCTTAAAAAATAATGTAATGAAAGTAACAGATCAGTTTCACAGTGAAGGTTTTTCAAGGCATTTTCTGTTTAGTGAATTGCAGTTCCTGACATTATTTTATTTTCAAACAAACTCATTATTGAACACATACAACTTATCTGAAACAGTTTTGGGCTGTTTTTGTTGTTTGCAGCTGTCACACTAGAATCAGACGAAACTTATGCCTGTGCAAATGCTGCTAATTGATTGCCGAGTTAATGGCTCAGCCTTCTGAGAAACAATTATTATAAGCTAAACAGTTTTCGTCTTTACCACAGCAGATGTGCCAGTGATGTTCTCAGCCTTGAAAGCCGCCCAGCTTTGTCGCCTCATAATGAAAGAATTCTTTGAATAAACAGAAGATCTCTATTGGAAGCTTGATTTTTCTGAAACAACGTTCAATCGGCCAATTTTTACTTGAATAAATCAACTGGTGGTTGATTTATTGTTGGGTTTTTTTGTTTTCTTTCAATACTTCAACATTAGCAGCTAAAACAATCTGATCCTGATACCAAAACACAGTTCCATTCCTTTTCATGTTTTTGAAAACAGAAAAAAAGGTTTCCTGAATCTCAAACTTTGATTATTATTTCTTTTTAGAAAACTTTAACCAACAAATTTTAGATTTTTTTCTAGAAGTAATCAGATGATGCATAGATTATTGCCTATTGGAAGCGCCAACACCGACATTAACTTTTGCTGCATTTGTTAATCTGCTGCTGAATTATTACACTGGTCAATCATAGAGATGCAGAGACTGATTTTCAGCTTGAGCTGCCCTGATCAGTGACCCACTGTTCAGAATTTGTTTATGACCAGTGAATGCACCAGAGAAGCACTACCACATCACAGCAACAGCAACGCTAATTGGTGTAAAATGTTTTATGCAAAAACAAAAGACTCAACTGTCGCTATTTTTATCATTTGAGCTTACTTATCACTTGTATCTTGTATCTTAAATGCTCATCTTTTAAGAACAGGTACTTAAAACATGGCCACAGACAATTTAAAAGTGGTGGAATCTTGTCAGATGCTTGTGCTGGCAAGACTGATGAAACATCAGCTAAAGCTGTTATCATAACGCATGCAAACTATCTCCTTTCTTATTTCAAAATAAGACTCTAAAACTTAGATGCAGGGTGTCAAGCTTAACACCCGGACCTGCATACATTGGGCTCGTAATACTAGCTTGCACATGTTCCACCTGAGGAAGTCACATGATGACAGCAACTGGACAGGGCTTTACGGGACGGACTTCGCATTGATGAGAAATATTGTGCCCGTGCCATGAGATCTTGGTAGAAACCCCCAGTTATAACTGGAAACCAGCACATATTTGGTCTTTAAACCCATCATTAAACACTAAATTCCCATGGTCCCCTTCTGAGTTTAATGAGGGACGTATTCTTTGTCGCAACTACTTCATGTCTAGTTGGATTCAACACTAAAACATCCATAAAGGACTCTGCAGGCCATTTATTAAATTTTACGAGTTTTTTTTAATTGCTCAAATAAAACCAGGTTTGCGTCGAGGAGACTTGCTAAGACTGGAGTGTGTGTTATTAAAGCTGATAAAAAGAACATTGAAATCGGCATGTCAAACCACAAAACTAGAGGTCCTTGTTGACAAGGCATGAGTTGGTTTCTGGTATCAAATTGTTAGCTTCATATCCACCAACATTTCCTACTTTTATGTAGATTATCAGGGAAAGTACAGAGAAATATGGGAGCTTACAAGAGATGTGGAGTTACACAACATTCATCCACCACGTTTCATTGTGCATTGCTGGTCAGCTGGCTGACAGATTTTCTCGAGAAAGACCAATTTCTTGTGGTTAGTTCCAACATACTGTTAAACCAATACAACAACGTCATCATACCATGAGAATCTTGCGGCTTAGCATTTCCTAATGGAAGCCTGTTTGGGACAACTCTTTGCTATAAAAATCCTTTGACAAGAAAAAATGGTCAGTGATGCACCAACCAATAAATGATGTTGACAGCTGACAATTTAATATTTCCCCTATGTATCTTTATTACTACAGCATAACAAACAAACAAAAGTAAACTCTTGCTGATGTGACAATCAGCAGTTCAAAATATTGGAGCAATGCATCAATTCTCTGACTCCTTAGTGATGATATCAGCATGTTTATTCATGCGCACGAAGACGGCCCCTTTGTGAATGGGTTCAAGTGAGACTTTAAATGGGCGTTAATCTCCCTCCCTGAACATCCAAGAGCTACGGGGGGTGTGATCCACTTCTGCACACACACACACACACACGCTCCCTTGCTGTGGAGATAGAAGAATAGATATATATCTCTTACTAAGCGTACAGGGAACATTTATTCAGACTCTTGAATCGACCAGGATCATTTATGGGTACTCGACACCGGCAGATGGAAGATTTTAGCCTCCACTGAAAACACTCACACAGTTATGCACAGTGCATTGACAAATTGACTTTCTATGAATGCGAGAACAGTGGAGCACAAACACCCGACAGCTGACGCGCAGATAAAGACAAGTCAGGGCCTCTCTGCATCGCGTGGGTAAAGTCACAGAGGTCAGAGCTTAGTTTCCACATCAAACCCAGGAGCAGAGGCCAGAGTCTCAGCCCCCTCCAACCTTCCTCTCTCCTACCCACCCACTCTCCTCTGCCCACCCACCCCCTTCACACAAACACACACAACCCACACTCTCCTCCACCTCCTCTTCTGCCTCCTCCCTCTCTGGATGTACAAATGCCTTTGCTGTCAGCTCTGCCCTGGACCCCTGTAATTGAAAATAACAGCTAAGGGCCAGCCCACGGCCACTCTCCCCTGCCCGGTGGCTCTCTGCCGTGGTGACAGCCACCCATCAATACCAATGACTATTGCCCTGGAACTGAGAGCGCCGCCGATGACATCCAAGACACCACCCCTGCAACACTCCCCCACACACACTGATACACACACACACACGCGCACACACCAGCGTCCTTCCTCTGCTACCCGAGCCGTCTAATGTTTAACCCGTTGCTAACATTTGGGTTGGTTGCAGTTCAGGCAAACAAGCCGGGTCTCTCACACACCCAGAGAAATCGCACACTCAGGCATTAACAACTTTAAGAGATGCAAACAACAGCAGTAAACTTTTTTTGCGCTCCCATCAAGACACTGAGCCAGTGTTACTGTACTACAGTGGAGCAACGCTGAGCTGATCCGGACTCAAGAGAGGCAGGAGATCTGAACCACAACCAGCCCCGGCACAGCTGAAGTCCGGATGCTGCTCTTGTTCACTCTCGAATGTAATCACTTTTCTGTTTCCTCTACTTATGACAGCCCACGAAAACACACTGAGAATGGAGGTTTCATGCCCAGTGACCATCACTCAGGGGAGCGGGGGAGTCTCTTGTTTCCCCCGACCCCAACACTGACGGACACCAAACACAATGCCATAGGTGATCTGAGATGTCATCCGTTTTGACAGAGCAATGACAGCTGAGCGAGGTGCGCTGAGCTCACAACCACAAAGCACAACAACGTGACGAATGAAACACGACACACACTGTGAGCGGAGGACAAGAAAAACGCACATACCTTGTCAAAAGCTGCAGAGCCGTGGAGACTAGGAGACTGTTTTCCTTTCCACAGTCCTCTCTGTCTCGTCTCCTCCTCTCCCTTTCCTCTTCTCTCCTCTCACTCTGCGTGAATGTGCGGAGTGTTAGTGTGTGTGTGTGTGTAGGTGTGTGTGTGTGTGTGTGAGAGCAGCTCCCTCCCCTTCCCTTCTGCCTCTCAGCTGCTCGGCTCAGGCAGTTCTCAGGAAATGAATGGGAGCGCACAGAGAACTGTTGTACTTGCAAATGACTTACCCCGAGTCACATGATCCGCTAAATGTAGGGTGGGCCGGTGGGTGGAGGCTTCATAAGCGAAAAGGGAAGACAATATACTCTAAGCTTTAACAGCGTGCATCGAATTACATGGGGCCCCTCCGGGGAGGTTTCCGACGCGTCCGTTCTCAGCCAGCCCGGACTACCTCAGTGCGCCCTGGGCTGCGCCGCTGCACCTTCCCCGTTTAAAGGGGGCGAAGAGGAAGGGGAAGCAAATACACTCAAGTTATTACCGTAACTGTTTGGCTGCTCTTCTTAAACTTTCTTAAGATGATTTGTCATGGCTGTGCTTTACTAACAATGAATTAACAGTAACTTTGACATTTGAATATATTTTTCAAACACCTGATGTCATAATTTGTTTGTAACCTTAAAAGATCCATTATGTTGCATTAAAATTTATTTAAAATTCCCTCTTCCTGCCACTGCGCCCAACACACAACCATACTAAGATTATTTGAAACAATACATAACCTAGAAGGGGAAAAAAATAAAAGCTGCTTGTCATATTGTTATCTGTATTTGTTTACATTTTTAGCTAGAATTGATTTCAACCAAGTTTGCTTTATGGACTCAAAATCAAAAGGTTTGAACAGTTGAAAAGAAACTCCCACTGCAAGGATTAGCTCAAACCAAGACAGATACAGGAGTATTTTCAATTTAAACAAATATTTCCTTAATTATGTTTCCTTTATCTGCATCATAAATGCAACTGAATATGTAGAAAACTCTTTTTCAGCAAAGTTCAGAAGAAAGGAACACGTCATTTCAACACAGAAATTAAAGTTCTCAATTTTCCATGTAACATGTATAATAGCTAGTGACTAGCGGAACAGTCCGAGTCTGGCCGGGGGGCGGGGCTAATGACCGAGTCCAGTTTGTTCACACCAAGATGCTCTTCCAGGCGGCTCCAATGTCAACCTTAACTATATCCGCCATACTGTTGTATTGACTCAAAAACGCGCTCAACCCGAACTGTTAAAGCGACTATAACTCATCCTTCAGCCCCTGACGTCACTGCTGGTACCACCGACAGAGAAAAGGGGATGTTAGCTAGGCGGCTAGGCTGATACAGTTTACAGTCAGTTTACAGTTAACTCACTTTGTGAATAATGTCACAGTTGCTACCTGGAACAAGTGCGGCTCTTTCGCCGGGCTGCCAGTTTTGGCGGGTGTGAATCGCCGCCAACAAAAAGTTCAGTCCATCTCCAAGACGAGGAACAAAATATGCCTCCAGTTTTTGTCTTTTCCTTGCTCTATTTTTTTCCATCCTTTTCTCTTTGCCGCTCCATGGACCTCCTCTCATGTTAACTTAGTAGAAATGCTCTCGCTAGTTCGCCATCTGTTGCCTAGTGACCGATGATGACGTTGGTGTATTTACCCAGAATACACCTGGAGGCAATATGGACGATCCACTTGTAATTTTGTGTGTCATAAAGTTAAATGTAAGAGTGAAACTAAAGCCAGTCGTGTAGCACATTTTATGTTTTATTTTACACCCACCATATCACTAAAATCACTGAAGTCTTGTAAAGGTTTTAGCAACCATGAGTCAACAATAACTATAGCGGGCTACTTTACAATCTATCAACGTCTCCAGCTCTTTCCACATGCGGTTTCCTAAAGTCATATTCTGTACCTCCTAGGCCTGGTCCGCATCCCAACCTCTGTGAATAAAGTCATTAGTGAAAGTTGAGATTCACTTAATTTTTCTTGATTGCTTTGATGCAGTTATCACCTCATCAGACTCCACATTTTCAGTTAACACAGGTCTAAAATGTGGTTGAAGTGGTATGTCTTTTTCTTTTTGCTAGTATGTTTTTGTTAAACACACTAACAAGTGCTAAATAAATTTTTTAAAAAGCAAATATTGCCTTCAAACAGCACACCTGGCAACCTGTATGAACTCTTTCAATCAATAATTACATCATGGACAACAAAACATAGCACTTGCTTATCAGTCAGTGTAGCCCAGAAGTGTGGGAGCGCTTACTCACCATCAATTTTGTCTCCAGCTTGAGGCTGGGTGAAGTTGACTAAATATTCGCTGTTACTTTTTCCGGTTTATTTTTTTAACTCAGTGCCCTGTAGAGCTGTAGCAACCCCCATGGGGGCAAACACTTCCCACACTTTGAAAAGCCCTGGTGTTGTCCATTACGTCACTTTCATGCTAATAGCATTTGTTATCTTTCTGCACAAGCTGTGTCAAATAATTTTTCTTGAACAGAATTTGATCCAAAATCAGAAATGTTTTGTTGCACAATTATTGATTTATATGACTTTTTTTTTTTTTTTTCAAAAATTGTGAAGGAAAACTGAAATACTGCTAAAAAAAAATAAAAAGTCATTGCAGCAAAAGGAATTCCCTCTATTGAGTCTTGTTTGCTTCGGATCCACGCTGGTAAAGCGCAACATATACGTACAATGCAACTTAACTAGTGGATCCCAGTTAAGCAGGTCAAAGCAATCAAGACAAGCTGTATGTGGAATGATTATGATAATTCAACACTGGCTGTATCTCATTTTGATTGACTTAACATAAGCAATTTACAATGTTAGGAAACTGCAGGAAATTTTATGAAAGCAAGCGATGCGTGACAAAAAGATTAATTTGCTGGAAGGAAAGAGAAACTGCTACTATAATGAGCACAAAAGCACTAAATGTTGAGGGGGTTGAATGCACAGTAATAAGAATTTTAATTCCTCAACAAAGCGGTAGGAAAAAGTTGTAATTTGATTCAGGTATATTAGAGAAGGGATGCATGTGAACACTGCTCTTGAAGGCTGAACTTTAGAAACCACTGATGTAAAATAATGAATAAAGTGCAGGGCACAACTATATAAACCAAACCACAAAACATAAAAACCAGCATAACCAACATAATTCAAACGCAAAACACAGAAGCCTAAAAACCGCTACGGCTTTTTGACAAAAATACAGTTTGTTTCAAGACAATTTTCACAAGTAACCCTCCAAACTCCTGACAACGTTTTTATTCTCATTCTAATCAGCTGAGTCTTTCCTTCATTTACTTCCTTTAAGAACTTCGTACATCCATTCACAAGAGATGTTCATCCATCAATGATAATTTTACTATGTTCCCAATTCATGTTTTTTTCTGTTTTTATTTTATTTATTTATATTTTTGGTATAACTGCCATTCTAAAACAACACTTCCTTGTCGGATCGCAGCTGTGACTGTTCGGCTGTTCAGTCAGCAAAACTAGAAAACAAAAAGGGGACGTTTTAGCTACACTTGCCAAATAAGTCCTTTTGCTGAAAATAGTGCAGACACAAGCTTTTAATTTGTGGGTTTTGCCATTAGTCCAGCAGGATATGTAGCCTGCTAGACTAAATACCGTTTAGTCTAGCAGACCTCGACATGGTAAACTTTCTTACTGCAGCTATGATCTCAATCCGGTCAAAACTTCCTCCAATGAGCAGCAAAACCAAGGGTGCGACACCTATTCATATGCAATAAAGGGCTGCTTCCAGCTGGAACATAATTAAACTGGAACATGAGACTTCATGTCCAAAACCTCTGATTTCCAAGGTAAATGAAACCCAAAATTATTATTTCAAAGAACAAAATAGCTATGTCTACAGTTTAATAAGTATTATTATTTTGTGAGAAACATCTTTACGAGTACTTTTACTCGTAAAGATGTTTACGATGTTTTTTTTGTTTTCATTTGACAGAAAAGAAAAAAAACTGAAAATCTTCACATTTATGTATAAGTAAAAAAAAAAAAACAACAACAACAATGTTAGACATTGTTGTAACCTGTTAATTTGTTATCCTTTTGATTAAGAAACTGCCCCAGATAAGCTTTCAGTAAGTGATAGATTACTTGTCCTGTAAAAGTTCGAGGTCCTTGTAACAAACTCAAGAAGAAGAAATATAAAAGAGAAAAGAAGTCTTACCACATACTGTTTACGTATGCAATGCAAGACCATTTTTGAACCAGTTTCCCTAATTTTACTTGTCTCACTGGAGTTGCAGTTTCTGCTCCTGCAATCAAATGGCACATTTCTGCCTGCTGTGTGTAACTGCCTGCATGATCAAAAACACCCAGGAATATTTCCCCCCATAATGACAGTTTCGAAATTTTCTTCTGTGAAATCCCTGAGCTGCAGTTCCGTTGTCAGTTTTCCTCCTGGTGTTGCCGGCCTTAATGAAAGGCTTCTCTGTGGTATGTGGGACCGAAGCTTCCGATGCTCAGACCCACTCCCCAGGGAGCTCTAATTAAGGTAAAGGAAGCGGGACTTATCTGCATGGCTGATGGCACTCGTACCACTTTAAATTGGTGCGAGCCTCAGAATTTAAGGAGTCAGTTATGATGGCGAGAGCAACAAAGGACACACACAAAAAATAAAAAACTGTCCAAATAGTGCAGTAGTGTGAGCCTTTTCCTACTGGCGTCCTCTGCTTCATCTGAAATACTACAAGTTTTTTATTTGTCATCAGTACAGGATGAAATCACAGTGCGAATGTGAGAGGATGGAAAAGGTTGTATAGTGAAGTTGGGATTTTTACAGGTACAACAATTTTTATTGTTTTCACAATCTAATGATGAGTTGCTTTCAGTTTACTGACACCAGCCACCAGATTTAAAAAGAAATAAAAATTAAACCAATATATTCATTAGGGCCATGACGCCTTGCAACCTGACAATGTCCATGGGCCTTTGGAAAAGAGGAAGGCCCACAGTTTCACAGCTACACCTCATGTCCAAACGTGAAAGTGGGCATGATGGTCTTTTTCGTACTCCATCTCCTCTACCCAATGCACATAGTTCCACGTAAATGTCCTTGTAGGATTTAATAGACTTCACACAGCTCGTCATAAAGGTCATTTAATTTGCTTTTGAGAGTAATAACATTTTTTGGTGTGAACTCAGTTAAATGGAGTCAGCCATATGTAAAGCATCACATTGTCTCTGCATGCTTTCCTTCCTCTCATATTGCAAAAGCATACATACTATTTCAAAACTTTAAAATAGAAATAAAATGGTTATTCTTTCAAATAAATATAAGGCACACATTTTTTTTTACACTTTTTACCAGTAAGTAAGTGTGGCAAGAGAAGTTCATAAACCCCAGACATTGGTTTTATGGGTGAAATTTATGTAGCAGCTTATTTGTATCGACATATGCAACTCAGGGATCTACAGGATAAAAACAAATGAAACAACGGCAGCTCCGAGTCATCCCAGCATCAACACACACCCAGCCTGAAATGAAACACAAATACAGTGTAGATGTAGATATTTCTGCACCTCTTTGCTGATCCATAACCTGAATGTCAAAACAAATGAACAAGGCACAGAGACACATCTCACACTCCAGCAGGGACAGACACACACGTAAAGCCAAACAGGTGTAGCCAAAATAAAAATAGCAACAAATATTCAGTGGAAAAAACCCCACCATCAATAAGAATAAAAAATATATACAAACACAAATACATAAAAAAATCAACAGATAGACTAACCAGGAGCATACAAAAAATCATTACAAAATAAATAAGTAAATTAAATTATATTGTTCTTCCAAATGTGCCAAATAATCCATTTGATGCATAGTCAGAATTGTGCTAAAAGCTTGTTGGGGGCTCCAAAAAGTATTTTGATTTGCAACAAATACATTATGTTTATTACACAAACTTTGTCTGTCCTGGTTTATTTGCTCCAAACCAGTAGATAGAAACACCAAATTTACTTTTTGGGGGTTTTTTGTTTTGTTTTTTTTTTGCAGCCTTGTACAAATTTTCTCAAAATGTGCAAGATATTTGGACTAATGGACACATTAACTCAGTAAGGAACAATGTTATATGTTGTCTGGTGTCATACAAGTATTTTAAACTTATGGTAAAAATATTGCAACCCTAATCTGAGCTGGGGAGAAGCATGAAGATATTGAATAAAAGATGTACAGAAAATGAGCATTGAGGAACCCCGTATTGAGTCCTTCTTTGTTTAGATTAACACAAATTTTCCAGTTTGTCAAGTAAGGTTTGAAAAAAAAATTTCCACAATAGAAGGTAAATCTAACCTCTGTGCCAGACTTGCAATTATCACTGTTATGATGAGCATTAAGTTTTATTATTGTGACCTTACACATAAATATCAGAGAAATATTTAAACGAGGGTGACGAGAGGGCTGGCTGTAAAGGTTGAGTGTGTGATGGAACGCTAATGTAACATCACTTTCACGGATAATCTCTGTAATGACAATTTGAGGAGCTCTTTTAAATAAAGTCCGGGGGCATATTGAAGGGAGGGCGGCAAAGTTGAGTAAAAACGGATGCCTCAAGGTGGAAGAAGGAATATTG